GCGTGCCCCTCTGCGGCGGTTGCAGGTTGCGGCCGGCCGATTCAGAGCAGCGGGAGCGTGTCTGGAGCCTGCTGCGGGGCCTGCTGGAGACCTACAGCCGCCTGCGGGAAGAGGACCAGAGCTTTGCGGTGGAGGTACCGTGCCCCGGTGTGCCCCTCGCTTTCGGGGCACCCTAGGGCTGTGAGACTGCACAGGGTCCTGGGACGCGGGAAGGGCTTTGGGTTGAGGACCTGCCCCCGGGGCTGGGGGGGCTCAGCAGCCTTCCCCCCCAACCTGCACCCCAGGCCGTGGAGCGGCTGATCCACCCTCAGCTGTGCGAGCAGTGCATCGAGTTCCTGGAGCGGCAGGTCGTGCAGCACATCAATGCCAGCCCCGAGCGCGGCGGGGACGAGGTGGGCCATGCCTTCCTCCTGGTGCACACCAAGCTGCTGGCCTTCTACTCCAGGTGCGCCTGGCCCTGGCCCCACCACCCTCCCCAGGACAGCCGCTTGCCCTCCTGGCTGACCCTTCCCTTCTCTGGCCCACAGCCGCAACGCCAGCTCCATCCGCCCCGCTGACCTGCTCATCCTCATCCTCCTGGTGCAGGACCTGTACCCCAGCCAGAGCGCCGAGGAGGAGCTTGGCCCCCAGGTGCTCCAGAGCAGGCTGTGGGCGGCAGCAGGTTGGCATTGCCCTGCAGGGTGACTAGGGCTTAGTTTTTTTCCCCTCTTTTCAGAAGCCTGTGGCAGGGAAGGTGCAGCTCCAGGAACCCAAGAGAAGCGAGAGCATCCCCGTGAGTGGCCCTGGCTCCCACGGAGCTGCGGTGAAGGACTCAGATGACCAGGTGAGTCCCTGGGATTGGGAGCTACAGGCTTGGGACACTGGCTGGGCCGCCTGCATCAGTGGCTCAGCCGTTCTCGCCAGCAGGACACAGATGATCACTCCATGCCCGAGGTCTACTACACGCCAGAGCCCTCGCCGGGCACGCACAGCACGGGTGAGTACCCAGCCGGGCAGCAGCCCAGCCCCGCACCCCCAAGCCCTGCAGAGGCTCCAGCGCTGTGTGGGGAGGTGGTGGGGAGGGTGACCTGCCCTGTGCTCACTGCAGGCAGCGAGAGCTGGTCAGAGGGCGCTGAGATGCTGGACACCGCAGAGGCAGATGCTGCAGATGTCCAGGTGAGCAAGGGGTCCCACAGTCCCTCCTGGCTCCACGCCTCCCCAGCCTCTCTTGGTGCTCTTTGCGGTCTCTGGTCCTCGACACTTGTCCCTTGCTGGGCCGCAGCTGTGGGTGTCCCAGGCCCTAGGACTGGGGATGCACCCCGCGTCCCCCACGTTGGGTATAGCCCTGTGAGGGCTCTGACCACCCTCTCTGGGGCATTGCTTATGGTCTCCCTGTCCAGAGCTGTCAGCACAGAGGGGCCCGGGCTGCCTCAGAGCAGTCTGGTGTCTCCCAGTGCTGCCTCTGGGCTTTCTGGGCTGCTTTCTTCTGCAGCTCTGCAAGCAACTGCTGGCCTCGGCATAAGACGTTTGCAACTTGTGTTTTTGCAAGTGGCTTCTGCTCTTTCTGCTCTTTTTGTGTCCCTGAGCACATCTCTTGCTGCTGAACTTTTGCTGTGTGGCTCCTCCAGTCCCCTCTGTTCAGTAATGCCCGGTTGTAGCTTTCAGGGCATTGCTGTGTGTCCCCAGAGTGTCCCGGGTCAGAGCGGCCTGTCTCGTCCCCACAGGGTGCTGAGCATCTCCCCTCTCTCCCCAGATGGCAGAGGACTTGCTCCAGACCTTGGGGCCTCTGGTCTCTGAAGCTTCAAACCCCAGAAGGATCTTCCTGGACGCCAGCCTGCGGGAAGGTTACTGCCCTCTGCTACCGCACACCATGCACTGCCTCCCGCTCTGGCCGGGCATCTCCCTTGTCCTCCTGACCAAGGTGAGCTGCCTCTAAGGTGAGGGAAGCGATGCTGGGCCGGGTCCTGGCTGACCCACCTCTCCTCTCCCCGGCAGGGCCCCCCAAGCCAGGGAGCTGTACCAGCTGCTGGATGGTTTCTTGGTGCTGGAGAGGAAGCTAGAAGAGGGGCCGGAGGCAGGAGCCCCACGCTCCTACCCGTTCCTGGCTGAGCTGCGGCAGCGCATGGACAAGTTTGTGAAGAAGCTGAGTGGGCAGGACATCCAGGTGGGAGCGGGGACGCAAGGACCCTGTCCCGCTGTCCCCGCAGCCTTACGCTGAGCCCTGTCTCTCTCTAGTTGCAGAACGCCTGGGTGGACTTCAAGAACAAGATATTTTCCCGGAGCGAGCCTGGGAGCTCCTTGGAGTGAGTGTGGGGTGGCCAGGGAAAGGCAGCAGGGCAGGTGGGGCCCTTTCCCAGCCTGGGGGATGGCGCGGCTGTCCCTGCGGCACTGGGGGCCCAGGGCCAAAACGGGCAACGTCCCTGTCTCCCCACCC